CCCCAGTTGCATATTCATGAGGCCCCGCCCACCCCCCAAGTTATAAAGCGGGCGTCACGCCCCCTCATTGGATATTCATGAGGCGCTATATAAGGAAGGGGGGTTCCGCCTCAGAGGACGCGGCCGCGGGGGTCGGGGTGTCCCCACGGCATCGGCGCTGGTGGGGTCGGGGCCCCCCGCGTCCCCCGGGGTGTCACCCCAGTGTCACCCCTTGGGCCCCACCGCCCTGCGGCCCGTGGAGCTGCTCTACCTCAGGGATTCCTCACGAGGGTCCTCAGGGGGTTCCTCAGGGTGCTCCTAAGGGGACTCCTAAGGGGTCTCTTCAGGAGGTTCCTCGTGGGGGCCCTAAGGAGGTTCTTCACGATGCTTCCCAGGGGGCTCCTCAAGAGGTTCCTCAGAAGGATCCTAAGGAGGCTCCTCTGGAAGGGCTCTCAGGAGTCTACTCAGGAGGTTCCTCAGGGAGCTTCTCAGGGGGTCCCTCCTGAGGGTCTTCAGGAGGTTCCTAAGGGGGCTTCTCAAGAGGTTCCTAAGGGGGCTTCTCAAGAGGTTCCTAAGGGGGCTTCTCAAGAGGTTCTTCAGGAGGCTCCTCAGAGGACTCTCAGGAGGCTGCTCAGGAGGTTCTTCAGGAGGCTCCTTGGGGGTCTCTAAAGAGGCTCCTCAGAAGGTTCCTCAGAGGGCTTCTTAGAGGGTCCCTCAGGAGATTCCTAAGGAGGTTCCTCAGGAGGTTCTTCAGGAGGCTCCTCAAGGGGAGCCCTCATGAGGCTCCTCAGAATGTTTCTCAGGGTGCTTCATGAGGGGAGCTCTCAGGAGGCTCCTCAGGGGCTCAGCTGCCATTCTCTGTGTACAGCACCCAGCCCTTACTAACAGGGCCACAAATGAGCAGCTAGATCTCCCCCTGCTGTCCTTTGCAGCAAGGGGACATTGACTGCATACCATCGCTGAGGGACACAGGTTCTCGGAGGTCTCCAGCAATGGGTCTCCAGACAAGCAGCCCCAATCCCGCCGTATTTCACTCTTTGACCTGAATTTCTCCCACTGAAATTTCCCGTGTGACCAGCTCACCAGGGATGTCTTCTCCTTACCCATCCTCCCACATCTGAACAAGCCCCTTCTCAGGCACCTGTCTCTATATAATTCCTAAATCCTGGAGCCAAAATATCCCCCCAAAAACAAAAGTCAAAGGGAGGATGGGGCTGGGGATCCATTCGGGAAGCCTGTCAGGCTCCTGTGTTTTGCTGCATTTCACCTGCACCCTGGGATGATCCGAGTGCCGGGAAGATGCATCCCAGGAAAGCCGAGGCGGCACYCGTTGCTATGGAAATCCTTTGCGCTTCTCCCTTCCTCTTCCCTTCCTCTGCTTATTGCAGCCCTAAAACAAACTGTCTTCTCTTTCCACCACCCTTGAACTTAGGGGTCCTGCAGCTGAGAAGGTGCCTGCAGAGACGTCCTCCACCCTTGGTGCTAAGTGGAAAACCCACTGCCGGAGAGAGGAGCAGATTCATTCCCTAATTTGGCAGGTCCCCATGGAGCCTCCAGATCCCCCAGCCTYGGAGCCGGGACATGGGAACCTGCCGAGGCCTTAGGGAGGGAGGCTGGAGCCTTGGACGGGGGCTGTGTGGAGGCCAGCGCTGGCCTGCAGAGGGTATCCTAAGCCTGTGCAAAGCTCATTCCCGCATCCCTGTTGGGAAAACTCTGCCCTGTCGGAGCTGTTGCACTTTCCGTGCAGCCTCCTTGCTGGCTGCGCTAGTCCTGCTTGTTTGCATGGAAGAACAGGCATTCCCAAATGCTGGAATGTGCTCCTGCTGCAATTCCATGGAGCCCCTGGGGACACACGTTGCCTTGAGTCAGAGACACTGGTCCCTGGAGCGCAGGTGCCCCAGGCTGCAGGCGCATGGAAAACATTTGCTCCATGAGGAACACTCAGCTCCAACATCCCTTCCGAGCATCCTGAGCATGGCTGCTCCTTCAGGAGCTCTTGGTGGTGATCCCTCATTGGGATGGGAAGAGGAAAGGGGATGTGGCAGCTTCCTGGAGGCAAAGGGGACTATGGGTGACATGAGAAACCGGCTGCAGTGGGGGCTGCAATGACCCTCTTGAGGACCTCAGGGGTGACACTGGCAGCCACAAGAAGGAGGTGTCTTCTCTCCCATGGTTTCCCATGAGTTTCAGTGTTAATCCACCTCCGGAGTGGATATTGGCTGCTTCCTAAGGGTTGGAGGTGAAACTCGGGTTGCTCTGGAGCAAGTTGATGTAGGATGCATGTGTTCTATGGGGAGCTCATCTCCATGCCAAGACAGCTCCTGGCACCTGGGACAAGAGGGGACACCATGAAGACAACCAAGGCCTGGCCCCAATGCTCCTCTCCAGCTCCTCTTCCCATCCATGTGCTGCAGAACCAGCATTTCCCTCCTCATCCAACTATCTCCATCTCCATAGGGTCCCCAGGGAGGTCAGYGAGGAATGGGGCCAGCCAGGACATCATTCCTGATTATCCATGTGTCTGTGTGTCCCTTCTGATGGAGGATGACCATCCTGATGGAGGAGAGAGGAAGGTGCTGGAAATCAACACCCTGCACGGTGCTTCATTCCTCTGTGGTGGCTTCTCCTCCGAACCGCGTGGGTTTGGGAGGAGCTTTTGGGGACTGGTGGGAAGTTGAGACTGGTCAACACGACCTGGAGGCCCCCGTGGAGATGCCAATGGACAAGGTGACACGTGGATCTTGCTGGCTTCCCTAAAACCTGYCTTGGTTCCCACTGGGGTGGGGTTTGGGACCACCTCGGTGTCACTGTCAAAGTGGTGCTTGGTGATGGCCAGAGGGCGRTCTCCAAGGTTGGATGAAGGGAGGACAAAATGGGATAATAACCTGTCTGATGGAAGAGGTTCCCAATCACCTGGTGCCACCAAGTGATGGAGGGAGAGCTGGGGTGTAGGGATGAAGCCATCAGGACGAACCTGGGGCTCCCCCGAGGTCCAGTATGTTGGACTGGGTTGGGAAATGGGATTCAGTGCTTCTGCTGCTGGTGATGATGGTGATGATGATGAGGGTGATGATGAAGATGATGATGAGGGTGATGAGCTTGTCTGGCTGCCTGCCCTGCAGCGGCTCCGGGAGCTCCGGAGCACAGGGTTAAGCGCTCGGCTCCCGGCTGCTCCCGCCCCGCCACGGGATTCCCGCCAACTTCCCCTGAAGAGGGAAAATTAATAATATTAATAATAATAATAATAATTACCCCCCCTTTCCTCCACGAGTTCCCCCTCCCCGCCCCGCTGTCTTTAATACCCACCGAGAAACTCCGCGGGCTCCCTAAAGGAGGCGCCTGGGGCCGGAGCGAGACGAGCCCCGCCGGGCACCGGCCCCGCCGCCCCCAGCACCGGCCCCGGCCCCGCGGGTCCCTCGGGGAGCGCACGGCACCGGCACCGGCACCGCGGCTCCCAGCCCGACCCGGCACCGACACCGCGGCTCCCAGCCCGACCCGACCCGACTCGGCACCGTCACCGCGGCTCCCAGCCCGACCCGGCACCGACACCGCGGCTCCCAGCCCGACCCGGCACCGACACCGCGGCTCCCAGCCCGACCCGACTCGGCACCGACACCGCGGCTCTCTGCGCGACCCGACCGGACCAGACTCGGCACCGGCCCCGCGGGCCCCTCGAGGAGCGCACGGCACCAGCACCGACACCGGGACTCCCAGTCCGACCCGACCGGACACGACCCGGCACCGACACCGCAGCTCCCAGCCCGAGCCAGCACCGGCACCGACACCGCGGCTCCCAGCCCGACCCGGYACCGGCAGCGCGACTCTCTGCCCGACCGGACCAGACCCGACCCGGCACCGCGGCTCCCAGCCCGACCCGACCCGACACGGCACCGGCACCGCGACTATCTGCCCGACTCCACCGCGGCACCCACGGGACCGGCACCGAGGCACCCCAGGCACCGGGACCGGCATTGAGGCACCCCAGGCACCGGGACCGCGGCAACCTCGGAACAGGGACCAAGTCATTGCCGGAACCGGCATCGCGGCACCTCAGAGCACCGGGACCGACACATTCCCAGGACCGGCACCGCGGCATAGCTGGAACCAGCACTGAGACTGCCCTGGACACTGGGACCGAGGCAGCCCCAGTCACCGGGACCGAGGCACTTCTGGACCAGGACCGAGGCACCCACAGAMCCGGAATCGCGGCAGCCCCAACCCCAGCACTGACACCCCCCCAATCGGGACGGCGGCACCCCCAGGACTGAGGAACCCCTGGGGACGCAGCACCCCCGGAGCCAGCATCTCCGAGTACTGGGACCACGGCACCCTCAGAACCGAGACTGGGACACCCCTGAGCACTGGGACCAAGGCATTCCCAGGACATCGACATCCCTGGAACTGGGATACCTCTGGAACCGGGACCAAGACATCCCCGGGACAGTGATATCCCTGGAACGGGAACTGAGGAACTCCTGAGCACTGGGACCAAGACACCCACAAGCACCGGGACTGAGGAATCCTTGGGACTGCAACACCTCCAGGAGCAGCATCCCTGGAACCGGGACACCCTCAAGCACCCAGACTGAGGCATTCTCAGGACAGTGAATTCCCTGAAACCGGRAACAAGCTCCTTGGACCACCCTGAGCACCTGGACGGAGGCATCCGCAGGACAGCGACATCCCYGGAACCGGGACCGAGCCCTCCGGGCTCCCTGTGGGCTGCGATGCTCCCCGGCGCGGGCATCCTGGCCTTGCTGCTCCGCTGCCTGCTGCTCCTCGTGGCCTCCGGCAGCCGAGCCCGGGCTCGTAAGTAGGACCGGGACCAKGACCGGGACCTCCAGCCCCTCTGGGCCTCCCTTTCTCCATTGCCTGGCTCTGCGGAGCTCTGCAATGGGGCTGGCCTGGAGSGGGGACACCCGGTTCCTTCCCAGCTGGTGCCGGTGGGTGTGGGCAGGGGGGACATCCTGGTGCGTTTGGCAAGTGGGGACCCCGCTCCCTGCATCCCCCTGCATCCCATCTGCTGGAGGGATGCASAGCAGGAGAGAGGGCGATGGGAAGGAACAGGGAAGGAGCCAAAGCTGCTGCCTCCCTTGTCCACCCCCTCTGTCCCTAGTCGCCACCGCTGCTGCCAGTTTGGGAGAGGTTGGGAACAGGGATGAGGGAGCTCCCAGCCACGGAGTCCCGGAAAGAGGTGAGGAGCAGAAGCGCTTGGGTTTCGGGCTGAGGCAGGAGGGACAATTTTGGCCTAGAAACGGGCTATTTTGGGGGTTTTGCACTCTGCGCTGCTCTGCTATCAGTGGTACAGAGTTTGGGGCCCAAAGAGCCGGGGAATCCGGCAGCAGCCGCTGGGCACAGGGACATCCCGGCCTGCGGCGTCCGGAGACTGGCACCTCCGGAGAGCGAGGGCGCCTTAGAACCCCCGGCTCCTGGGATCCTGTCCTGCTTGGCAAGTTGGAGCCGGTGGGATGAAGGGCTTGGATCTTCACCGGAGAACTGGTGGCAAAAGGAAAAGGGGTTCCTGGAGTGCTGGGGCATGTGGTAGGGGATTCGCCACTGTCTCGTAGCAGAACTGGGCTCGGGGTGACTGGCATGGGTTTCTCTTGGCTTCATCCTGTTTTTTCCCTATGGGAAAAGTTTGGAACCTTAAGGCACCTGAATTTGAACAGGGGAGGAGTTGGTTGTGGGGGACAGTGAGGCAGAGAGCACAAATGTGCCTGGTTCATCCTACAAGAACCGGGCTGGAAATGTGTGGCTAGGTCAGCCACTCCTTGTGTTCATTGCTGGGATCCCATGTAAATCCAGAGCCATCTGATCACCTGGCTCTTTGGGACATGGGGACAAGGCAGCTCTAACCCTCCCTGAGCCATCAGGGTCCTCTGGGACCCCAATCTGGAGGCTGGGGATGGAAGGAAAGGGTCTTGTGCACATGCATATGTAGATCTTCTTCCATGTATGCGGACATGGGACTTGTCTCTGTAGAGCATCAGAACCTCCTGTGTCTGGAGAGGGATGACATGGACACGGCTGAGTCACRGATAGCAGGACAGGACATAGGAGGACCTAGGGGGATAGAATCATGGAATCATTAAGGTTGGAAAAGACCTTCAAGATCATCGAGTCCAACTGTAGATCATGAAACCCAACTGCATGTCCTTGTCCTCGCAGCCTGCGGCAGATGCGTGGGACACGCAGTGAACCACCTGGAATGGACTATACCAGTGGGCAGGAATGCTCGGAGGTACATGGATCTGCTGGTAGGAGATCTTGGAGGGACATGGATCTGCTGGCCCGGCTCTGACATGGATATCCTGTGTCCAAGCCCCAGGAGATGTCCAGGGGTGGTGTGACCAACATCTCCGAGCATCYCAGAGCCTCTGCAAGAGCCATTGCCAGTGCTAAATCTTCCTAAATCTTCCTGGTGGTGTCCCAAGCCGATGGCTCCTTGTTGTCCCTGCTGTGGCCAGAGACCACCCTTCCCTTTGCAGCGCAGCCTGGCCTCCCCGTCGCACTCTGTCTCACATTTCATGCTATCYGGGAGGCAATTAATGATAACATGCTAATTAATGACAATTAAAGCAAACCAGRGCTCGGGAGCAGCCTCGAGCCCGGGGATGTCCAGACTCCTCATTGCTGGCGCAGTTCCCAGCACGAGGTCGGCCTGAGCCAACTCGGGCTTCACTTAATATCTGGGCACACTGGGTGCTACAGGAATCATTTCCATGGATTTTAGTTATTTTTTCCAACATGTACAACACATAATGGCACTTTTAGGAGTGCAAACTATGCTACATCCAGGGCTCTTTCATTTGCCAGGTAGACARGACCTACCCTGTTGTCTTCCTGCCCATGGAGATGACCACGACAGACCCATGTCCCATATGAGCTGGGACAACCCATGGCCGCTCTGGTGATCCTATGGCTGTAACCTTCTCCTGGGAGTACCCTGGGCTCCAAGCTCCCCTCACCAGCTGCACCAGGATGAAACACCCACTCTTARCAGCCCGAGGACTTGGGTGCTGATGGTTTCGCTCCCGTCTTGCTCTTGTGGATAAAAGGAAGGAAATCTCTCCTTTTACTACAGGACCTGGTTGTTCCTTCCCACCTCTCTTCCCTGATTCCAGCTCTTGTAGTGCCTGCAGCAAAGGTGAAGCTTTTGGGYTGAAATCAGGAGAAAACCGCTACATCTTCGCACGTGATAAGGAACAGGCCGGCCCTTGGGGTCCTCCTGCCCCAGGTCGTCATGGAAGGAAGGCCAAGGGGGTGAACGAGGTGACGAATCCCCCGGGATTTCGGGTCCCGCCGCCTCGCAGACGCTGCGCAGCTCAGGACCTGGCGAGGGAGAAGTTAAACAACGTGACTCCCGTGAGCGCGCTCGCGCCGAAGCCGCAATAAACACGGAGACGGAAAGGCACGGGAGCAATTTACTGCCACAAATGGCTTTTCACTCCGAGCGAATCGGGAAGATATCCAAATTTTGACCTCTGAAAATGAAATTATTAGCCTGGCACGGGGGAAAAAAATCACCCAGAGCCTCCAGCCTCCTCCTCCTCCCCATCCATCCCCGGATYGCTCTTGGCCGAACGTGCCCGCGGTTCCTGCCAAATCCGCGGCGCTGCCATGCGGACAAGTGTCTGCTGCTGCCCGCCGCTGCCCGGCGCCTTCAGCTCGGGCGGCAGACGCGCGGCGGCCTCGCTTTCGAGGGCTGGCCTCCGCCCAGGGCTGCGCCGGGGAACGGCGGGTGATTAAACGCGTGAAAGGCGGGTGATTAAACGCTCGGCGGGAGCAGCCAGCTGGCACGGGGAGGCCGCGGGCCGCRCGGGGCTCGTGGCGCGCAGGGGCCAGGCCGCTGGCTGCGCCCTCGGCGTAAATCTCCACGACGCTGCAAGCGGGGTAAAAACGAAGTCACTTTTCACAGAATCMCAGAATGTTTAAGGTTGGAAGGGATCCCTAGGGATCGCCCAGCCCAGCCCSTGCTCCAGCAGGGACACCCGGAGCACGGGGCACCCGCTCCAKCCCGGCGCGKTGGGAAGGTCTCCAGAGCAGGAGCCTCCGCAGCCTCCCTGGGCAGCCTCAACCAGGGCTCGGGCACCCTCCCACCAAACAAGTTCTTCCCCACGGCCAAATGGAGCTGCCCGGCCTCCAACCTGCACCCACTGCCCCTTGGCCTGCCCCTGGCCACCACCCACAAGAGCTTGGCCCCTTCCTGCCTCCATCCTCCCCTCGGCTGCTTGCACACACTGACCAGGTCCCCTCTGGGTCTCCTCTTTTCCAGCCTCAACAGGCCCAACTTGCTCAATCTCTCCTCATTTGAGAGCTGCTCCAGTCCCTTAATCATCTTTGTTGCTCTCCACTGGACCCTCTCTAGCAGCTCCACATGCCCCTTGTCCTGAGGAGCYCAGAACTGTCCCCAAGGCTCCAGGTGCAGCCTCACCACAGCTGAGTAGAGGGGCTAGATCCCTTCCCTTGACCTGCTGCCAACACTATTTTTCTCACCCTTCTTGCAAAATGAAGATGAATTTTGATTTTTTTTTTGTTTTCTCCTCTCTCTGTCCCCTGGTTTCTGTGGGTTTGAGGCACGTGCTCCTTGTTGCTGGAAGCTCGCGTTGTGTCTAGGTGGSGAAATAGGGTTGGTGACCCATCAGAGGCTGGGGTGAGCTGTGGGGACAGTGTGGAGAGGCCTCTGCTCTGTGTTGCTGTTGGTGGTGGAGTTTTCTGAGGGTGGTGAAGGTTTCTGCTGGTGATGGAGATTGCTGATGGTCGTGCAGGTTTCTGTTGGCAGTGGAGATTTCTGCTGGTGATGGAGGTTTCTGCTGGTGGTGACAATCTTTCCTGTGGGCCAGGGAGTTGCTCCTGCTTCTTGTTCATCGCTCAAGAGATGAACCACTGTGCTGGGGTGCATCTSTTGGTGGCCTCCTCTGCAGCTGTAGCCTAGAGCACCACATATTTGAATCCATCAGAGTCATGGGGACTGCTACCTGGTGTGACTGATGAACCCTTGGGACCACCCCGATGAGCGCATGGTCAGGAGCCGTGTGCATGAGCTTGTCCAGCATGATGATGTGGGTATGACGAGGGTTTCAGCAGCACCAGAGAGGCCATCTCCACCAAGGCAACCACCGAAGGGACCCTCAGCTGTTGATGAAGGAGTCTCAGATTCAGCAGCGTCACAAATTCAGCACCCGCTACCTCTCCCGTCCCCACATCTCATGATGGGACACCCATGGGATGTAGGTTGGGTAGCTGGGCAATCTTGAGGCTCCTCGCTGGCCATGGCATGATCTGGGCTCCGTGCCTTGGAAAACAACCCCTGGCCCCACAGCGTCCACTGTCCCCAGGGAATGTAAGGGTTTTGAAGGCCCCAAAATGCTTCAGCGAGCACAAATCTCCCAGCTGCCTTCAAGCAACATGATCACCCCAACTACCTCAACCTTTTAAATCACCTTCAGTTTTTAGAAAGCAGGAGCAGCTGCCGGGCTGCAATGGGAGCCACAGGGTTCAGGTTGACTCAGGAGCAGCAGAGTTGAAGCTCGTTCCTGCAGGACCAGGGGATACTTGTTGGTGCAAACCTTAAGGATGACCGAATTGGGCATCCAGACCATGCCCTGGTGTTGTTGGTGGTGACTGTGGCCATGGTTTGTCYCCTCAAAACCCACTACAGGTTAGGCTCATCCTGCAGAAGAGGCGTCAAGTAACCAAGAGGTCTTCGATGGAGGATGTTCACTCACCATATCTGCTAACACCCAGGGAAGGAGATCTCTGAAGGAGAATTTTTTCTTCCCCAGTTGTGCTGGCATCACGTCGTCCCTCTGCCTGGGCCCAGGTTAAACCCATCCTGATGGAGATCTCTCACTTAGGAGCATGGCTAGAAGCTGGTTCTTCTCCTGATGACATGATTGGGAAGGAATAGAAATTTGGACTGTTTTGTTCAATCCAGGGAAAAATATTGCTTTGATTCAACTGCAGTTTTTCAGCATCCCCAGAACTGTTTGTGTTAAACATTGAGTCATTTGAAAAACGTTGGCTTCAGCACAATGGGCTGARCTCTTCCTTTGCCACCCAAGAACCTTTCTGCATCTGAAGAGGGTCCTACACGGACCCCTTGTTGGTGTCTGTAGGGCCCAGCTGCCCCATGGCCCTTGTAGACCCTGTAGAGGTGACAGTGGGTATTTCATAGACGGGGGGAAAGGTTGGCAGTGGATTTGAGACTATCCTTCCATCAGAGAGCCAGTTTGCTCTGGGAGAGCACCCATGAGAAGTGACTCCCAATGGCCAATGCTTGCTGTGGTCTGGTTCTGATCCCAGTGAGCAAGAAGGACCTGACACCCCCATTGACAGGCCCAGAATCAAGAGTTTGGTTCAGCTGTTCTAGCCAGATTAGTGCTGGGTTGAGCCTAGTATCTCCCTGAGGCTCATGCTGGTGAGATGGACCCATCCAGCACCACCCTGCCCCTCAGAGCAGATGCTCAGCTCCTCGTGTGCTGACGGTGCTGGCCAGCAGATCCTTGAGAGAACGAGCTGAAGCTCTGGAGTGGCCAAGAGGCTCCATCAGAATGCTTTTCTACCCCAAAATATCTTTTGTTTTTTTTTGGATAGCTGTGAAAATGCCCCCTAAAACTCCTCTTCTCTCTTCCACCACTCACTCCGCTGGTCTTCCTGGGTGAAATTCRGCCCTGTAGCATCACCGTGATATCGCTTTGGTCTTGGGCTGGCATTGAGTGTARAGTTGTCAGCTGCTCATAGGCATGTCCTTGCTGTGCTCATGAGGGAGGGAGGAGAGCTCTTCCAAGGACCATCCCTTTCTACCACAGAGCTTCTCCCCGTTGACTTTCAGGGCCGGATACGTTCTGTGATTTCAACGGCAAGAAGTACAGCCCGGGGGAGAGCTGGCACCCCTACCTGGAGCCGCAGGGACTGATGTACTGCATCCGCTGCACCTGCTCCGAGGTATGTCCACCATGAAGCCACGTGCTTCTGATTCTGGGTCAAAACCTCGCCAGAAAAGCCYCTTTTGGTCCCAGAGGGATGATAGACTCATCTATTTCCTTCCAAACCCTCCCTGTATCCTCCCATGGACATTGGGTTGGCCTTGGCAGGGCCCTGTCTCAGGGATGTGGTGGGGCTGCAGTGGGGACATGGTAGATCTTTGTGGGTGAGCAAGGAACATGTGGCCTGGCCTAGCAGGATGGAGATGTTCTTAGCCAGGAGAGTTAAACCAGTGCAACCTGTTGTGATAAGTCATGCAAAGTCTCCCTTTTTTTGCTGGGAAAAAAAGGGAAATTTCTGGGAAATTTCTTCCTTTCTGAAGCAAAGAGCAACTTTGGGAAGCTCTTTCTTCCCCCATGGGGAAAAACATGTAGCTGAGCGCAAACAGATCCCTGTCCTTCCCTCCCCAGAATGCCAACATGAGGTGCTACCGGATCCAGTGCCCGGCTCTGCAGTGCGCCAGCCCCGTCACGGACCCCCAGCAGTGCTGCCCGCGCTGCCTCGGTAGGTGGACATCCATATCTTCATTGGGCCTCATTCACAGCAAGGTCCCTTTGATGGAAATGGACTTTTCACCAGACCTCTTGCCCCAGCTTCCCCACAACTGACAAAACTTTTGGTTCACTTTTCAGTGACAAGCCAACAATTAGCACGATCATTTGTCAGCAAAATGTTTTGGAGGCGGGAAAAAATGAATCATTTTGGTTGCACACTGAAAATTTTCACAGAACTCTTGAATTTTTCCCTCCCTGTGTGTGATCTTTAAACGACTACCAGAGTCAGATCAAAAAACATTTCTCCTCTGAGTAATTAGAAAAACTTTTTTTTTTTCTATTTTCCAAATATCCCTTCAAATATCATGGTGGTTTTTGACCAGCTTTGCTACCACATTGGCATGAGAGCTTTGCAGGTCTGATTGCTCCCTTGCAATGATCTCAGAGTGGTCATGGTAGCCCCCGAAGCTTTTGCACACCTCATTCCCCTGGGCATTAGACTCCATCCAGCATCTGAGAGGGGTCTTAGTGCCCCTGCAGGAGCAGCAAGGTCTCCATGAGGACCACATTGTGTTGGATTCAATGCTTGCAAGGAGGGGAGCCATGGCTGGGTGAGAGCGCTGCCTCTCATTGTGCCCATGTCCCATGGGGACTTTGGAGCTGGATGTCTTCTTAGCAACCCCAGCCTGATTTTGAGATAGGGGATGGGCTGAGATAGAGCTGTGTTTACAGGACTCATACCAGGCACAGCTGACTCAGCCTGGCCTGGATCCGACGCTGCCCGGTCTGATAAAAGTGCTCCRTGTTTATGTCTCCCCTCTGGAAGATGGTCCTGGCTGTTCTTCAGCCAAGGACCTGGCCGAGCACCCGTTGGGGCCAGGGAGGGGATGGCTCTTAGCCCGTTGCTTTCTCTTCTTCCCTTCCAGAGCCAAACTCACCTTCTGGCCTCCGGGCGCCTGTGAAGTCCTGCCAGTACAACGGGACGACGTACCAGCAAGGCGAGATGTTCACCACGAGCGAGCTCTTCCCCAGCCGCCAGCCGAACCAGTGTGTGCAGTGCAGCTGCTCCGTAAGCTGCTCCGAGCTCGTGGGAGGCTGAGTGGGGCAGCGGGGAGGCAGGGAGGCCTTGGGGTCAGCTCCTGCATCCCACCAATATCACATTAGGTGAAGAATCTCCTGGGGCGGTGGAGAACCATCTCTATGGGCAGGGCTTGGGTCTATAGCACCGTGAAGCATGGGGAAACCAGGTGCATCACCTGGAGACACAGCTTGTTTGCTGGAGATCTCACAGAATGGTTAAGGTTGGAAGGGACCTCTAGAGATCGTCTAGTCCAACCTTCCTGCTCATGCAGGGACACCTAGAGCACGTGGCACAGTGGACATGAGGGATCTCATGGGACAGTTTGCCAACTTGGAGTGGGCAAAACCCTGTCCCCAGCTTGGCTTTGAGCACGTGGATCTAATGGATGTGTTTGCTTGCTGCACAGACCCGCCTTCRTGCTCTGGGTCTGCAACCATCACATCCAGCTATCCTGTCCCACTAACATCTGATAGGGGAGAGAGGAAGCAGAGAGGCCAGTCTGGGAGCCCTTCTTCACACACTCCTGACGCAGAGCAGATGGGATGCACAACCAAGAGATCCGGAGGAGGTGACCTTGCCTCCAAGGTTGGCCACAAGGTACCAGGTCTTGGGCTTTAGAAGTTTCTGGGATGCTGAGCTTGGTGTCGAGGCAGCTGGTGGGACCAGCCCCACTGCTTTGCACCCAGCCAGGGTGCCGGGGTGTTGCAGGGCCTCCAGCAGCCAGATCAGGACCTCTCCTGCCCAGTACAGCTTTACAAAGCCAGAGCTCATCCTCCAAGCAGTCAGGAGATGACAGCCGAGGTGATAACATTTGCAACAGAACTTGGCAACGCTGCAGTCAGTGGTGGCAAAGGGCAGGCACTTGGAGACCTTTGATGCCAGTGGAACCGGACCCCGTGCTGAGATGTCTTTGGGTGCTGTGGTGCTGCAGGTTTATCTGCTCTACCCTCRCAGAGGACGGGAGCTGTCCCGTCAGTCAGCCGGGGTGCTGTGTGGTCCTCGGTGCATGTCTCTGCTGATGGATTGCCTGTCCACCCGYGCCTGATCGATGCTCCTCTTCCCAAGCACCCAGCAGGGCCCTTGGACGGGCCTTGGCTTCGCCTGCCCAGACAGGGCTCCTGTCAAGACCTGACGTTTCGCTCCAGGAGGAGGGCGAAGGTGTGAGGAGCGCGGGGCCGTGCGTGCCAGGAGCTGAGTGTCGGGAGATAAATRGAGTGGCTTCTGTGGCTTCTCCTTCTCGAGAGTGAGTGAGGAGATGCAATACAGAGATGTGCCGGGACGGCGCTCACGGAAGAACTTCTGCACAGACGTGGCTTTCACTCCCCGCGTTGCTGTCGGACGGGGCCAGATGGCTCGTGGAGTTGGAGCCGCTCTGCTTGCCATGGTGGCCAGAGGGTTCATGCCAAGAGGTTGCTCCTGCCTGCTGGCTCTTGGATGGCCTTGGTGGAAGAGGCACASGGGTGTGGGGACAACAGACAGTAGCACCTTGTCTGGGGGGCCAGGTTGGAGTCCTGCGATGTGTCCCAAGCTGTTTCAGCACAGGGAAGCTGGACGGGTGGGAGCACTCTGCTACATTGGCGTTGATGGCGTTGATGATGATGGGGTTGTCCTCTTCTGTCTGGAGAGCCTCCATGTCCAGCCAGGAGACACAAAGCTCTGCAGAACCAAGGTCCCCACAGGTCCCCAGTAGGCTGCTGCGTGTCAGCTGAGCGGGGACAATACCCCATTTGTCTATGTCTRCATGTCTAGTATTTGTCTATTTGTCTGTGCTATCACCAAACTTGGCCAGGAAAGAAAGCAGGGTGAGCTAACTAAGCCATCTCACTCACACAGGCCAAGAGGGACATCCCATCCTACACATGGAGGGCTACCAACACTCAGCTGGTGCACGGTACTGGGCAAAGCCACCACATCAGGGGAGCTGGTTGGAGCCCTTGATATTTGTGGAAGCTTCAGAGCTAGGTGTCTTAAAGCTCCGTGGGAGGAGGAATAGCTCAGGCTTAGAAATTGTGCAGCTTTGAGGCTGGCTCTTCACTTACTGACCTCGTCTGGACACCAGCCTCTGATGGAGACACATGCTTGGGACGGGAGCACTCAAACCTGACTTGCCACCTGGCCAGGCTTTCCAACCCCAGCCACCACCACCTCCTGGAGCCAGTGGACTTGCCATGTCCCTCTTGAAGCCACTGGCTCTCGCTCAGGCTCTGTTTATGCAGTAGGATACTGCCTTGGATACGAAAGGGAAAATAAAAGGCAAGCAGTGAAGCCTTGCAGCAGTAGGCTCTCGCTGGGCTGTATCTGATGCTGTCAGCTGTTGGAACAGCTGCATGAACAGCTGGTCTAAACCTCTTTGAAAACTGCCCCAAGACCAGAGCCTCGAGCATAAATTCTGTATTTTTTATGGCATTCACTCTTCTCTGCCCATGACAGGTCTTTGCGGTGACCTGTAAGGCAGAAGAGGAGGGGAGGAAACTGTTCCTCCAGAGCCAAACCCTCTCCTTACAGCTCTGAACTCCACGGAGGTCACTTCCATTTCCAGCCCTGAGCTGGACAGAGKTGTTTGGTTGTGGCAACCTCTACCACATTCACTCACTGCCACMTCTCCCTCCTCCTCTTCACTTCTGCCTGGTGGCTTTGCCTCATGCAATACGATGACGGAAGAAGATGCTGAGATTCCTTTTCCTGCAGACACCTTTGTGCAACCTCTTGCTTTCCCTTGGCTAACAGCCTGTGGGTACCCCAGAGAAAATTGCTGCATGGAGAAGACCTGGTTATTGAGGTCTGGATACTGTTGGGCTTCTCAACATCCTCTTCCGCTCTTCTGCAATACAGCACAAACTAAGCAAGTGGGTGCAAATCCATTGGCTGAGATGAGACTGGGCATGCTAAGTTCAAGATTGTCCTTGGCCTATCTGTGGTTTTCAGCTTGAATCACTGCAGTAAATGGCATTTTCCAGGCCAAAAACCAAATGGGAGCAGGTTTACACAYGAATACTTATCCACAGGTCTTGGCTTGGTGTCTTGGTGTGCTTGGTTCTGGTGATGTTGAATGACCCGAGGGCAGAGCTGTGGGTTGGACCTAGATCTGGGTTCACTCTTTGGGGGAGATGAGTTCACTCCATGCACAGATTAACCATGGGCAACCTGTGGACTAGTTGTGCCTGGTCATAGCAGCTACCTGAATGAGACCATGGAGACCAGAAGCAGCATCAAATTAAAAGTGACTGGTGCAATTTGAGGTGTGCCACCCCAACATGAGGCATATTTGGCCTTGCTGAGACCTCAGTAATGCTGATAAAGTTTTTGTTTTTGCTCCTGCCCCCTAGGAAGGACAGATTTACTGCGGCTTGATGACCTGCCCTGAGCTGTTGTGCTCCTCTCCTCTAACTGTGCCGGATTCCTGCTGCCCGGTCTGCAAAGGTAATGAGGGCTCCAGGTGCTGTTCCATGGTGAGGGCTGCGAGCCACAGGCTTTGCTGCTAGCTGGCATTTCAAGCCAATTACGCAGAGTTTTGGAAGCCTATGCTGTCAATCAGACTACTTGCTGCCTCTGGGTTGCATCAGGAAACCAAAAATTACGCTCATGCTTTTCTTGTGCCCATCACCTCCCTCATGTCCTTGTGTCCTGACTCCCATGGCTCTCATGCTGGCTAGGGATGGATGAGCTCTTTGTCCTACCACTGGGCATCGTACAAGAGATGTGATCTGCACAGAGGGTGAAATCCTCCAAATCGCTCACCCAGAAGCTCAGAAGTGTTTGCATGGACCATGTCAGCGTGGTGCATATGACTGTTGCTCCAGGGAAGTATTTGAGGCAGTTAAACCCTGGGGAAATGTCCTCTGCACAGCATGGCCTTGGTTGAGTTTCACTCCCACAGCTCTCCGTGGGGTGAAACTCCTGATTTTGCTGCTTTTTCCCCTAACTTGCATCTGGGAGGATGAGGAGAAAGTCAAGCCTTGCACTTCTGGGTGAGACTGGCCARGAATGAAGGGGCAGATTTGTTGCCTTGCACTGAAATGATGCTGGAGACAGGGTCCAAGTGGTGCTGGACACAGGGTCCAGTTTTGCTCTGTCACAGCAGGCAAACCCAACGTCTTTGGCTTTCTTTTTAATGCCAYGTCTGTCCCATTACTTCATAACTCCACCTCTGGGGTGGTTTCCTGTCACCTAGCTCCAGGAGTCTACAAGGMAATGCCTTTCTTGAAACTTTTACTATGATCAATGGGGATAAAGGGATTTGGGGCACGTGACATGGATAAGCCATGTTCCCACTGGCTTTGGGGACACGTGAATCCTATATCCAAAGCACTTCTGTCTCCAGTCCTAGCAGATGTACCTGCAGATCACTGCAATTAGTTGTCTGGACCCCAGAAGCCAAATCTCACTCGCTGTGTTTCAGAGGCTGCTGTTTTTTCCTTGCAGATGGCTCATACGAGAAGTCCACAGAAGAGGAACCCCTGCAATTAAACAGAGGTGTTGTACGTGATGTTTGCACTTTGAAATTTGGTCATTGCTTCTAGCATAGCCCCGTTAAAGAGCTCAAAGAAAGTCATATGCCCTTGGGCGTAGTCTTCTACCAAGAAATGACCTACATCAACTCTACAAGGGCAGTCGGTTCCTCAGGCAGCAGAAGCTCTGATACCTGATTAGTGGTTGAATTGAGTCTAGGAATTGGCTTTAACAGAGAGGTGTCAGCACAGGCTGAGGCTTTAAGAGACCTCAGAGACTCCAAGAGAAGCACTCTTGTCWTTCTTCTGTGGTATCTCTGATGTCTCTGGGAAAGCACAAAACCTGTAGGATCTCCTTGATGGTTAACCTGGGTGAAGTTGACTGGTGGGTTAGAACATCTGAGAAATGGGGCACCAGAGAGTAGGCTTGGAGATGGTCATTGGCCAGAAGTGACCCTTGCCTGCAAAGCTGCGTGGCTCAAGTCTCTCTCTAGGGCCTTCTGCTTCAGGTGCTGGTTTCTCCTCTCCCTCAGGATAAAGGGTGCCCTGTCTCCCAGTCATGGCTCCCACAGAGCCAGTGTTGGAGCAGGACACGAGTGTCCTTTCCCCAGGCTGTTTGCATCGGCAGCCCCAGCAAGGAAAAAATGACTCCCTGGCTGCTGAGGGTTGATTCATGGTGACATTTTAGAGTTGAGCCGCCCATGCCAGGTCTGTGGGATTAGGTCACTTACAGCTCCTTGCCCTTCCCTTTTCCATACTCCTGGGTGAAAAGCCAGCGTCACACCTCCACCACCTATAAAATCTCCAAATAGACACAAGGGGACCCTTTGTGTTGCATGTCTTSTCCCAGCACTTTGCTCTTGGAAGCCCAAGGTGTTCCAGGGATCTCAGTCCTGCTGGCTGGCAGCCCTGCACCAACCCTCCTAGGGCCATCCAGGTGAGAAGGCAGGATGGGACCCATCCTTACCTCTCCAMCCTCCTTGGGTTGCATGGAGGCAATTTCTGCTTCCCAGTAGGCATCTAGAARCCCATTTTCCTGTCTGTGTTTGCGATGTAGGACCCAGACACCTATCTGAGGGCTTGGGGTGGAGCAGGCTGTGCCCCACTGAGGGAGGATGACCCATACATAGCTCAGGGAGGACAGGAGTGTGGGACATTGACGCAAATTGCTCAATGTCTCATATGTGGTAGAAGCCACTGAGATAGCTCCTGGGTTGTTGCTCATCTGTTGCTCCTGACCTCTGGAGGTCCCTTCCAACCTTAAGCATTCTATGATTCTATGATTCTATGATTCATCCCTTATGGTCTTTGTAGCTTCTCGAAGTAAGGTGTGCAAGGCACTGCATGGCTTTTTTTCCAACGTACTTTAGAGAGACAACAACTGAACTGCCTGGGTCTGAGTGCCTATGTTGTCTCCAACTGTTCACAGAGGCACTCGCAAGACCAGTGCTCGGGGGAAGTAATGGGCAGGAAGCCGCTTGGAGCCACTGCGTCCACCCTCCTCAGTTCCTCCCTGGAGTTCATTCCCAGGAGCTTCAAGCCCAAGGGAGGTGGTGGCACCACTGTCAAGATCGTCTTGAAAGAGAAGCACAAGAAAGGTAAGAAGTGGTGGGGCTGGGGTGTCTGTACGTGGCCTAAACTGCCTTCTCCAGGACTTGAGAGACTTCCCCTTGTCACCAGGGAATCAGTTTGTGCAGGAACTTCTGCCACTGGTTCTTCCTGCTCCTCCACAGCAAACCTCACCCGGTTACGTTAACCTTAGTGGCTCAGGCCTTGGGTCCACAAGCCCTTCTGTGCATAAATCTGCCACTTTCTAAGAAAGGTTGGAGGAAAGGTGATCCTTGGCCTGCTTTGGAGGTATGGGACCTGGGAAGGGAGGTGATTGACTGGAAGACCCTACTTGGTTCTTCCAGGGCTCCCTGGACATCCACCACACAGCAATATGGTGGCTCCTGGCACCTACTGTCCATGTGGTGGGTCTGTCTTGGTGCTGTTGTCTTCCTCATGGGGAGACACTAAGATGGTATGATGGGGATGTGACACCGTGGAGCCAAAGGGGAAAGACAGAGGAAGCCTTCTCCTCTTGGGGCTCTTTTGCCAGTGTGTGCCCAGAAGGGTGTTTCCCAGCCCTTGGAGATGGAGTCCTGGAGGAAATTTGGGGACCTCCAGAAATTTGCGTGGAGAAGTCAGCAGGTGGCACTCTTCACTGCGCTTCATGCTGCCTGGCTTGTAGGGACCCTGGGCTTGCAGAGGGCTGGAGGCAGGTGAGGTCCTGCCCACACCTACCCCTCACCCCCTCCAGGAGGGGTGACGCTGTCAGCCTCCAGCTCCTGGAGSTCCGTCCACCTGCTCGATGGCACCTCCAAGGCAAGGTGACTGCAATATCCCCATGCYCACTGCATCTGCTGCAACTAGAGGTGTCTCTCCATGCACTCCTAGAGGACYACTCTCTTCAAGAGAGCAGGGCTACCCATCAACAAGGTGGAGAAACATGTTGAGCTTCACCAAGGCTTGTGGGTGCAAAGAGGAAGAGCATTCGCTTCTGCTGACAACTCCCTTCTTCTTCTTCCAGCTTGTGTTTACAATGGGAAGACCTACTCCCATGGGGAAGTGTGGCACCCTGTGTTCCGGCTCTATGGCCTCCTGCCCTGCATCCTGTGCACTTGCAGGGATGGTGTCCAGGATTGCCAGAAGATCACGTGCCCCAAGGAATATCCGTGTGACTCTCCAGAGAAAGTAGAYGGGAAATGCTGTAAAATATGTCCAGGTACGTGGGATCTTATTGACCTGCTCCATCTGGTTCTGTGTCAGCTGCCTTCCGCTTCCTTCCTCCAGCCTTGGTTTAAGGACCTGAGCATATAGATGCTTATGGGTTCATATTGCTGGTGACTTGAACTCATGCCTTATGAATTCAGCCAAACAAGCTTTGATGTAAACATTGACCTGTCTTGGAGAGCAGCAGGACTGATCCAAAGCGAGGAAGCTGTTCTGAACCTGGAAGGTTGCATGTGTTGGTTGGGTGCAGTCTGGAGAAAGATACCCGAGGAGGGACATGAGAACAGTCTTCAGGCAAGTAGAAGGTGCCTGCTGATACCCAACTGCTCTTCAGGCCTGCTCTTAGGGACACAAATGACTCTGACAAGATGTCATGGAGTTAAATTATGGCAGCTGAAACATAGGTTTGGAATGGTGAGGACACTTTCAGTGCAGAGTAACTCTGGTGCTGGTGGTTGGGTAGCATTGAGATCTCCATTTCTTGTGGGCTTTATGGAGGATTAGATGCACAGCTATCAGAGATTGGTGTTGAAACACAGCAGAGAGACCAACTTTTCTGCCTCCTATGAATTTATATGTTTGGGGTCTCTGAGCTGGTTTCTGGTCTTCGAAGGGCTGTTTGTCTTGAACCACAGAACTGGCAAAGAGGTGGTGGGACATCAGATCAGCTCCTCTTCCAACTGGAGGAGGTTTTCTAGGTTACACCTCTGTGTATCATCATTCAGAATCAGAGGTTTAGGTGAGGGACCACCCACTTCTTTAATGAGACTAGAGATACCCTGAATCTTCTTGGAGCTTGACCCCAGATGCAGCAACTGCAGAATGATCTTCTCTGATGCGCTGTCATGGTTTAATGGAGGGATCTCATCAGAGGGAATGAGCAAGGTACGGTGCCACATTAAGGAATGGGGACAAACAGGCTGCACACTCATTTCTGCTGGGATCTTCAGGGTTTGCGGCTGCCGAGCAGGGAGGTTCTGGGATGGCCTCCCCMAGGGAGTGAAGGACAGAAGCCCAGCTTGTTTTAATAAGGTTTCTGATATGTTTATGAGCAGGATTTATGATGTGGTGCCTGGTGGGAATGGGATGTGATGACTGATCAGAGTCCTTCCAGTCTTGTGTTCCCATTATAGCAGGTCTAATGTTTAAAGGTTTAAAGTCTACAACTCTCTCTGCTGGGAACTCTTGTCTGCTGATCAGTCTTCATTTATTTCCAGTTAAACGCTCTGACCCAGCCAAGATGATTTTCTTCTTGCTTTCCAATACTCACAGATAGTGATCATACACACACCAAGTTCCCAGCCAAGTTTCATGCTTGTCCTTCACTACACAAAGATTTGGCCTGTCTTCTCCTCCCGGCACTTTCCATGACGGTCCATGACTCGCTCCCTTGCACGTGGTGGCTTGGAGAGAATCGCAGACTGATTTGTTTGCAGAAGGGATCCTGATCAAAGGGGAGTTGCTGTGAGGCACTGGTCAGACAGGGAAACCATCAGAGTTGCTCAGAGGGAAAGCCAGGACCTCCAGGTCCTTGTTCCTCTACCCTGACCTACAGCACACCAGGATGTCCATGGATCTAGTATGGGGCTCTGAGGCTGGTAAATATAGTTGTGAGGGCACTTGGTTCCTTCTCTCTTGTGAGATTGGAGCTGCTGTGATGGATACAGAAAGCAGCCTATGAGTAGAAGACATATAATGACTTGGGGTGGAGGTTTCCCCACACCCAGAGCCCGTGGGAGATGGCTGGCAGCAGGGACGGTGACGGACTCCGAGTGTCCCCTTTCATGTCGTGTGAAGGCTGCAGAGCTGAGTATTTGTCATCTTCTTGCTCAAAGAGCCCTGCTTTCTATGTCCTTAGGTTGGGATTTCCATCTCCTCTAGACTGGTGTGCGTGAAGAGTAGTTCAGGACCCTCCCCCAGAAAGCATGGAGGAGAGCAGAATCAGTCCTAAAATAACTGTCCTACTAAAATAAACCCCACACGTCTATTTATAGCCAAACCTTCTTTCGAGTAGTGCAGAAAAGCTTTAACATCCAAAACGGCTGAGAGAACAAGGCTAAATTCAGCAGAGCTGAGCTCCTCTGTGTTCCAAGGACCACAACCAAAGGCAATAAATCTGCTTCCAAAACCATGGGGGATTCTTAATTACTCCAGAAACAAACACACGCGCACAAAGAAAATAGCAGCTCTCCTTCACCAGAGATGTTAAGAAAAGTCACGTAGGGTCCTGCTGGTGCCTCCTGCTTGGGTGTCCCCGCTGTCCTGCGGGGAGRCTGGGACCAAGGTGCCTTCGTGTGAAGGTGTGGACTGGGTCTGAGCCCACACATGGGGCTGAGGCCGGGCACTCTGCCCGGGCAGGCCAGCTACAGCGCTGGCTCCCGTTCCCCGGGCTCATCTCTTTGCTGAGCTGACGTTGCTCCTTCGGGATGGCAGCGGGAGAGAGACGGGAACCGGGGGATCCAGCCTGGGGTTCGTGACGCGCCGGGTAATGATGGTGTTGACGGTCTCCTGCAGGGAGTATGGAGGGTCTGGGCAGGAAATAGTCCCCCTTCTCCATCCCTGCTGGTTTAGAGGCTGCCAAAACCAGGGAGTATTGAAAGTTTTGGGGCGAGCAGGTCTACAGATGTTTTATCAACATCTCTCTTCCTCTCGCTGTTGTTCCCACTTTAGGATCAGATGTCCTGCCCGAAAAGGTGGGATAATAATGCTGTGTTTGGTGTTTGTTTTCCAAGGATGTAGTCACTGCTTTTCCCTTATCTTCTCCGCTCCCAGCAGTGCCTCCAGGCAGCCCTCCACCTCTCCAGCCTCCCCCTCCACCAAGATGGGAGGACAACCTCTTATCTTGATGTTGCACACTCCTCATCTTGTTGCTCCACAGATGTATGAGGATCCAACTCCAGATCTCTCCTTGTCCCACCTCAGATCCCGGGTCAGTGATGCATCTGTGTGACACGGCATCAAATCCAGCCGCCTTTCCTTTGATCTGGGTGCCGAGCTGACCTCTCCCAAGCTTGTTCTTTGGGGCCCTCCTTCTCCTCTCACGACTCTTGAGGGTCCTGGTTAAGAATTGTGTCTTTCTTTTTGCCCAGAAGCCAGAGTGAAACCCACCGATGAAATAATCACCACCCGGTGTGGCAAGAACCCCMACCGTGTCCTGGTGTACATGTTTGTGCCGTCGAGCTCGGAGACCTCCAAGGAGATCCTCAGGACGATTGCGATCGAGAAGGAACCGTCAGAAGAAGTGGAAATCTACAACTGGAAGCTGATTAAAGGTGAGTCGCCTAACGAAGCCAGCCAGCAATGGAAAAGGTGTGTGTGCACCACTGACCTCTCCTCTCATCCACTCTTTGTGGCTGGAAGGATTTATGCTCTCTTCTTAGGTACTGCTTTGGGTTTGAGCCTGGCTTGAGGTTTGTGACCCAGCTTTGTGGTGAGGGAGGACTGTTGCCCAGTGGTTTCTCAATCTTTGTTCATTCAGGCTGTAGAGCTTTTCTAACGATGCTTTCTGTCTTGTACAGTGAGTTGAAACCTTCTAAGACTAGGCTGGGTTTTCTAAGTCCTCCTTGTACATTTGTTTGCTGCAATTGTTGAGCCCACCAGACATGTAGGTCAGGGTCTGGAAACCACTTTTGTCCCCAGCATATCCACTCAACTGCTCTGACACCATTCTGAGGCACAAAATATGGGCAAATAGGGTAGGAGCCATGGGAACAAACCATACCACCTTTCACTGCAGATGCACATGGAAACAACCATGGTCAAAAAATGTCACTCCATATTTTTCTTCTCTTTCTTCTTCCTGGTCCACCAACCACAGGGAACAGATCTGCCATAAAGGTGCTATCTAGGGAGATGAATCACCCACTTTTTGACACGGTTGGTTTGAATCTTCCAGCTAGGGTGTTCTCCTGAGGTCAAAACACAGCTAAAACATCTCTGTYCAATGACACCAACTTTTTGCTCTCTTGCAGTGCTTTTAGCTGTGCAATGCTCTTGTAGATCAGAGGTGTCTCTGTCCACTGGAGATCCTTGGTCTGGTCAATATCTGAGTTTTGTTTCTCCTGGGCTCTGGAGGGGATTGCGGTGCTGGGTTGTGCCCCATGCTGAGGTCTCCATGGGTCGTATCCTACCCCTTGCAAACAGCTGGACACTTCAGGTGGCTCACAGCCTTCCCATGGTTACAGAAACCCTCAGCCCATATAGCTGSTTGTCTTCTGGACTTCTATAAATAACTATTCCGATCCCTTGTCTTACGTTACTCCCTTGATGGAGTTCTCAGCCTTTCTGGGGCTGGCTTTCCCCAGCTGCAGCGTGTGGAATTATCCAGACGGATAATTACTGCAGTAACTGGAGACATTAACTCAAGAGACGGAGGCCTGACTGTCGCCATGTCTCCATGCTCCCCTTGCCATCCTCCATCCTCCACGGTGCCCCTCTCCCCTTCCTGCCCCCACTCCAGCAAGCCTCCTTCACAATGGCACCTTGTAGCTGGAGGACAGCTCTGAGACTTCACTGTCTGGGCCCCACCATTTCCGCGTCTCTCTCTTTGGCAGAGGTCACTACCCAAACTGTCTTGCCACCTCCAAGGCCAAAAGCTTAGAGACTGCACGGAGCTCCTGAGCCCTGCCAGCCAAGGACAGGGGAGGCCCTTGTCCCCGAGGCCAACACAGCTCTTTTGCTTGGCAGAGCGAAGTGTTACTGTTGGGAAAGCGCATGAGCTCAGTCACATATGGATTCCACCTCTCCATGGTCCATCACTCTACCAACAGAGAAGCGTGTGTGGAGAAAAGAGGTTGGAAGTCATGCCTGGAGTCCATCCATCTGCCTTTGTATGGGCCTATGATACCTACGTGGCCTCATCTATTTCTGTGTCGGGAYAATTTCCTCCATGAGGCAGTAGTCGGGAGGGGAAACCAGCAGCAATACTCAGTCCAAAGCTTCACCCAACTTGCTCRTGGTGTACAGTCAATCCTCAGATGAGTTGTGGTGGAGACTTCCCCCAGACATTGAGGGGTCTGAATACCTCAGGAGATTTGAAATATGACTTTGCAGTGTTTTGGAGCACAGATTATAAAGGGGAGTGAGGACTGAAATGGGACAGGTAGGATCAGAAAGTGACTGGCATGGTCCATAGGGTCTCTTGTTGACCCATGCCCCTCACTCAGCCTTGCTGGGTGCCTGGGCTACACCTGTAGGCACCAGTTTCCCCATAGATCTCTTCCTTGTCTTTGCCCTTCCAGACTGTTGATTAGACAATGACCAAAATTTTCCTTCTTCCTTCTATTCCTTTCTCTCCTGCAACTCTGGGACCTCCAGCAATCCCCATTCTTTCATCACACTGGTGTACTCTCACACATACATCTGGGTTGGAGGGGACCTGAGGAGGTCTAGATGTGCTCACTAGCTGTGAGCTAGTGCTCACAACTGTGCTCACACTTTTCTGACATGTATTTGAACATCTGGAGTACTTTGTCCAGTTCTGGGCTCCCCAGGACTATGAGGATGATCAGGGGCCTGGAACATCTGCCCTGTGAGCAAAGGCTGAGAGAGCTGGGCCTGTTCAGCCTGGAGAAGAGAAGGCTGAGGCGGGATCTGAGCAGTGCCCGTAGATACCTCAAGGGAAGGAGTGAGGAGAATGGGGCAACCTCTTTTCAATGGTGGCCACCAATAGGACTAGAGGAAACGGCCAAAAACCGAAGCACCAAAAGTTCCACGGAAACTTCTGGAAAAAATTCTTAAGAGTGAGGGTGCCCGAGCCCTGGAACAGGCTGCCCAGAGAGGCTGTGGAGTGCCCTTCTCTGGAGATCTTCAAAACCCACTTGGACACAATCCTGCCATGTGCTCTAGGTGACCTTGCATGTGCAGGGGGTTGGACTAGATGATCTCTAGGAACTAGAGGTCCCTCTGAAACTTAAGGACTCCATGATTCTACGATTTTCTTCTGCCATTGTGACATGATCACCTATGTAATCTCCCAGAGACACAAGGCCCTTCCTTGGAGAAATTGTTCCTGATGTTCATGCTGATATCCTGATATTCACCTCAAGCTCATGTCTTCTTGTCCTATATACCACAGGTATGGAGAAGACTCCTCTCCTTGATGTATTTGAAGATGTCCTCCATTTTGGACTTTGTTCATGTCTTTCTTGAAGTCCAGAGGCCAAAACTGGATGAAGGGCCCTGGTCAAAGGTCTTCCCATTGTGTCCTGATAGGACAGGTCTCATGCACACGTAGGCAGCCATGTTCCCTCTCCCATATGCATGCAGGCTGGCTTGCTGGGCATCCCCTTCCAGCCACTGATAGTCTTGATCACTGTTTACTATTCCRTGCTCTTTTCTGTGTCATCTGGGTGTTTTATCAGGAGTGGTTTCATGGCTGCTTCCAGGRCATCTGTGAGGATGTTGTCTCACATTGGTCTGAGGTCTTGCACTGGTCTAAAACTCATCCCATGAGAATTGCTGGAGATCTTCAAAACCCRGTTGGACATAATCCTGTGCTGCATGCTCTAGGTGACCCCGTGTGTGCAGAGGAGTTGGACTAGATGATTTCTAAAGGTCCCTTCCAACCTTAACGATTCTATGATTCTGTGAAATACCTGCTTTGTTGGTGCTTAGTAAGTACTGGCACCAGTTTCTTGAATGAGGCCACATCTAAACAGTCCTTTTGCTTCCCTTCAGAATCCAGAGAGAGAAACATTTATCCCACCCACCTATTTTCTAKTAAGCAGACCAGTTCTCCAGAAGAGCTGCTCCTTAACTCGTTTCTCTTTTGTTGTGTGATACCGGCCCATGTTCATTTCTTGTCTCCAAGGTGGTGCATAAAGCACCAAGAAAGTTGACAAACACAAGGCAGCCTCATTGCTCCCCTCCACCTYTCATCCTCTTAAACCCAGCGAAGAGTGAACCAAGATCTGTTGGGTGGGATCTGCCCACTGTGAAGTGACTTAGCTCTCCCAAACGCTAAGTCTTTGTCGGCTTTATCCCATATTGGCTTTTCCATGGATGGCGAGCCAAGCGGGCTGTTCTTATCTGCACTGCTTCACTCTCTCGTTGCGCATACTGGCACAACGTCTGCATTCTTCCACTGCTTTGCAGCTTCCCGGCTCCTGACATTTGTCAAGAATGACCATCCAGGGGCCAAAGGTCTCAGCCAGCTCTCCGAGGGTGAAAATTATCTAAGGCGCTTGATTAAAAGATGTTTATCTCTTGTAGCTCTTGTTTAAACTATCCTCTTGGTTACTAATGTACTGCAAAGTGCTTCATGAGCCACAGGGACTATAAGCACACCCTCCTGCTCCTTTCTAAGTATAGACCAGGAGGATTTATTGAACACTTCTGACTTTCTTGCGTCATTAACAGTTTTATTACCTCCATCCAGTATCTTCTTTTGTTACTGGTAGTACTTCTTTTCCTGACCCACTTGAATAAGTTATATTAATAATCTGACCAGGCACATATTTTTCTTGGTGTCTTTGACTTCCCGTACTAACTTTCCACCCGTTTATAYGGATTTCGAGCCGGTTCCCACTTGTTGCATATTCTTTTTATGTGTAATTGCTGCTGGGAAGCAGGAGGGCCTCTTAACCGAATGCAGGGGACCACGTTGCCTCTGATGGCATCTGCAGACCGTGAGGTGCTGGATGCAACGGGTGCCTGCCGTGGGTGGGAGGTCGAGTGAGACACGGGAAGGATATGCCAGGCATACCTGCTTGCTTTGTCACTCCTTGCAAGCAGATAGGGATGTTCTAAGCCCTCATCCTGCAGAAAGGTCACTTCTCTTTGCTAAACGCAAGTTCTGCTTCTCTTGTGTCAAACCTCTGACTCAGGCGTCTCCACCGACAGGAGGCTGCTGGCAGAACAAGAAACATCAATCTGAGCTGAAATCACGTTGGTGTTCTCTGTCTCGGGGGAGTTACAGAGCTGGGAGCAGGGGGATAGAAAACCTCAGCCGTGGCTGCTGCCGAGACAGCAGAGTCTGAGGGTCACTACGACCAAGGAAAATGGGGAAAGAGGTGGTCAGCCTGGGGAGAGCAAAGCAGGGCATCCCAGGATATCCCTCCTTTCATGGTTTCATGGGAGGTGAGACCTTTTTAGGAGGAGAAACACTTTTCAAACCAAAAGGTCTTGCTCCTTCCATGTGCTCCATGCTCCTTCCATGTGCTCCATGTTGTGACTTCTGTTTTCCGATTTAACGAGCAGTTATCGCTTTCAAACATGGTTAACTTCTGTTGTGATGAGGGCTGATTTCAGCGGGATGTGAAGGGTGTTCTAGGGGCCAATCCCAGCTTGGTGCAGGGATCTTTTCCAGGAGTGTGGAGCCCAGACGGTGCTTAGAGCACAGTCATGGCCCTGRATCCGCTCCAAAACTGCCACCAGGCATTCGTGGCTGGTCCCAGACCAAGCCAGGACTATGGGCACATCCAGTACAGCCTTTTCTGTGCAAATTCCCATGTTTTTTCCTCCTGAGAGGAGATGAGATGATCTTTAAGTGCACCATAGACCGATGGGACTGTATTTCTGTCTGCAGGGATATTTCATCTGACACAGACCAAGAAAATCAGCAAACAGGAATTCAAGCAAGAAGCGCAGAACTTCAGGCTGATCACCAGGACAGACGAAGGTAGAGAAAAAAATAACCCATTTTTTCCCCCATTTTCCCAATCCCCCAGCAGGTTCTGCCAACCATGGTCTGCTTGCCCCATTGCCATTGCCCCATATTCTGCTGATGTGCCCAGCTACTTACTGAAGGCCGTGTAAATCATCAAACTGTGTGGGTAGGGAATTGCAAGGAGACTTGTGCAAAATATAACCGGTCAGGGCTGACCTGTCTACATGTCCAATAYTCCTGGTTAGCAGTCACATTTTCACTTTATGGTATCGGAAAGGGCAGCCAACTTTCTAAAAGTGGGCACACAGTTGTGAAATCCAAATATTACATGTCTCCAAAGCCCATAAAACTGTTTGATTTTTATATCTAATCCATCTGGCATTACGGAGGAAAAAAAAAATTATGCAAGGGATTTGAAAAAAATAAACTCTGAAATATGAAAAAAAATCTTTCTTAATGTTCTTGGATGACTGCAAATGTTACAAAAAACAGGAATTCCAGCGCACATGCCGAGAGTGCCTGTGTGGAGCGAAACTGCAGTGCTGTTTCCCGCTGGCTGCCTCTTTGCTTCGACTGGATTAGAGTCTGGATTAGGTTTGAGTCGAATCCTTTCCCATATTGCTCATTTGATAGCACTCCAGCACCCATGGGCCAGGGTCTCGGGTGGGTAGACCCTGCTGCCCTGCAGGTACCAGCACCACCAACACCAGTCGAGGGTGGCCAACGTGGACAGGAATTTGTTTTCACTTCCAGTCCACTCTGGACCACCTCTCTGCCTCAAACCCAAAGGCATCAGTGGCTGCTTCTTACCCTCTTTACGAGGTGCTTTTAAACTCTCCATGCTCCCTTCTTGCCTTGGTTTCCCCTTAACTCAGCTCAGCTCTGAGGCCATGTCCATCCCCAGGGAATTCTGGGCACATCCTTCCTGCTCCATCCTCCTTGAAGAGCGATGTTTAACTTCGGTCACGCGCCGCAGAGATTTCTGCGAGCAAAACTAAACCAGGCTCCAAATGTCAGCGGCAGCAACGCCTAAAATAGCTGTTTAAAATCCCTTCCACTCGTCCTCCTTTCACACGCAGCGGGATTAGCACCGTGACACAGTGAGCCCGTTTTTCCAGCAGAAGCTCCCCRTGAGCTGAGCAATGACTCTGCGTGACTTCACGGGGACACCGTTTCGAGAGGGACTGTGAGGTGTAAAAAATGAAGAAAAAGACAAATAACCCTGTTGTGAAATCATCTCTCTGCTTTTGCCGCAAGTTCTAGGAAAACGTTGGCCGGTGATTTCTCCACAACAGGAGATTAATTCAGCTTGAAAGTATTCCTCCGGGGGATGAYGACATTGGGGCTGCCTAATCCTTCCTGGGATCACAAGGGCTGTGACCACCTAGGGGGAAAGCGAGGAAGGTTTCAGGCTACCTTCTGGGGTCTGGAGCTGGATCTCAGCAGCGTCGCTGAGAGGTTGAGGTGGAAGGGCCAGGGACATTGCTGGTTTGGGGAAATTGGAGAGGGTTGGGTGAGTTTTGTKCCCATTATTGCCCTGCTCCCTAAGCATCTGCTTTGCAGGATGTTTGCAGCTCCCTACTGAGGCTGAACGTGGGATATGGTGGGTTTCTTTTGAAGAAGGATCTTCTCCAAGCTTAGGTTGTTGCAAAGCCCTGCATGAAACACTGGCACTGGAGTASCCAGCAGAAAGGTGTTGGTAAATGCAGGGGTTTTCAGTGCCCCAAGAAATAAGGTTGATGATAGCTACCCCACACATGGTCTACAAAATGTGAATGTTGGCTTTCTGATGATGAGCTATAGGATGAACAAAATTATTCTCTCCAAAAGGCCAGGTCTAATGTAGATCCCTCTGGGGAGATGTTGGATGCTGCACGAGCCTTCATRCTTGGGACATCAGTGGAGAATGTGTCTCTGACCACTCAAGATAAAACATATTTCTGGGAGACAGAGATGTGAGACTGATCCTTGTTTTGAACTGAACAGCTTTGCTTTTACACGAGTGGTTTACCAGGGAAAACAGAGGAAGTATCACTGATTGCTTCAACCTGTCTTAGCTTTATTCCAGGAGTCTCCTGCTTGAGAACAGGGTCCATCACTGGAGCAGGATGGAGGGGATAAGGGAGAAGAACTTCCCTGGGGAGAGAAGGTCAAACCATGCCCAGATGGCCAAATCCATGACTTCAGATTACGGGACCACCAGTGAGCCAGTCCAACAGTGCTATGGACAGACCTCTCTCACCAGCTCTTTCCCAGCAGGATTCCTACATGACTTCCAGTTTGGAGATGTTATGCATGGGGGAAAAAATAAATGTCCCATCTTCCTGATAAGGCAAGTTTCTGAGAGTCATTGCTCATCAATGTCCATCTGTCTTCTTCCAGGTCACTGGAATATCTTCCGAGCCCAAACGTCAGACCTGAAGGTGACAGAAAGTCCAGAGAAGGAAACAAAGAACTTGTAAAGAAAAAAAAACCCAAAAACTTTCATCTAGCTTTTGATTTATCTATGCACAAACACACACACACATATACTCAAGAAAAATGCATTATTAAATAGATTGGCACTGCTATAAATGGARAAATGCAGCAATGTAAATTAAGGAACTCGAGCAAACAAACCAGATTGGAAKACCACCACCATATCCAGGCCTAAATATGGCCACAGCCAGGGACGTGACACCCCTTGGAGCGCTCCAGCAGATGAATGGAAGAGGCTCTTTGTTGCCTTCTGCTCTCAAAGATTTCAGGTGTGCGAGGAAAGGAAAAAGAAACACAAGAGAGATGTGAATCTTGTTCCAAACCCTTATATTTCTTAAAAGCATCAGGAACTAAACAAGACAGGACTATTCCTTCTTCCACTGTCAGCTTAAAGACAACCTACGAGGAGAAAGATTCATCTCTCCTGGAGACCATGTGATCTGCAGAGGCTTCTTTTACTGAAGGATACCCCTCTAAACATCTCAGGTCTTCTCTCTGTTTTATCTTGAAGATTGGAGGACCAGACATACTTTAATTCTGCAAGATAAGTTCAGCCAGGACTTAGGCTTGGTCGGACTTAAATCCCATGAATGGTTATACCTCTGTAGAAACCTTTATTGGTCAGACTTAAACCCCATGAATGCCTCTATAGAAACCTTAATTTTCTCCAGGTTCATGATATTCTTCAGCACCTAGTTGGACAGGATCCCTAAACAACAGTAGGGGAAGAGGAAGAGGAGTTTTGTTTCAGGAGATTCCCATGTCTGACTCTGTATTTTCTACTTACCAATTCTTYAAATCAAGTTCCCAGTCACTAGGAAAACAAATGTCTCTTTTGACAGGAGACTGAAAATCTCTTTTCTCCTGCTTGGCAGATGATCTCTCAGCTTCATTCTCCAGCTTTCTCATCAGGAAGAGCAAGATCTGGTCTTCCTGCTGGGGAAAAAAGGGAATGAAGCACAAAGATTCTGGAAACCAAGAAGATAGGGAGACCTCTGCGCCTTCCTTCTACATCCCAAAGCGGCAAAGCGCAGAACCAGTGAGGTTCTAAAATCAGGAAGGTTTTAGGGCTCTTTTTTCTCCTCTGCAGATGACTTGAAGATGTGATTTTTGAGAGGACACATTTAGCCTCCTCTGAAACCCATCATGTCCATGCAGAGTGCAGAGGGAGAAGCGATGCAGGAGGTCCCGTGGCCCCTGACTTGCCTTCTGACACCGCTGCCGTGGCTGGACCCGGCTGAAGCTGCCCATGGTCAATGTCCTGATCTTCTCTCCCTTCAGCTCCACTCTCCCTTCCCAGCAAGAATTGCACTTCCCTTTGGCTGTGAAGCTTCAGGATCCCCATCCATGGTGGTGGCCCCACGCCACAGCAAGGTACTAGTGCGCCCTTCCTCCTGCACCCTCTGCCCTGCTCTCCAGCAGGAATCCCCTCTTCCTGATGGGATTCGTTTTCCAATAGTGGTGTTTGGGCACCACAACGTCACCTGGTCACCTCGTTCCCAAGTCCCCTTCCCCACCCTAGTGAAGCATTTATAGTCCAACATGTAGAGCRCTCCTGCTCCTGGCTGATTCAGCAACAAAATCCTGCTCCTTTCAGGGATGGGGGGGACCCAGCTGGGCCTGGGGGATAAATCCCACCCTGATGGCTGGTGTCACCCTCACCAGATGCCCGTCGTCCCGGGGCTCTTCCATGCAAGTCAATGTCCCCCACGGGAGGCCCCATCTCCTTGCCACAGTAGTCTGCAAAGATGTAACCTCCGGCGCTAGCAGCTCGCTGGGTCCGAGACCCCCCCAGACTGCACTAAGGTAGCTACTAAGCATGATATTGTGCTCTATATTTATATATATCCTACATAATATCTACTGTGCTGTATTCACAGGAGGGGTATCTCCCAAAGGGCCAACAGGACCATTTCTGCAGCATTGGGGAGGAGGGCGTGCAGCAGCACGGCCCCCACCCAGACTGGAATTAGCTTTGGGGGATGTTCAGGTTGTTTTGGTACATGTATTTATCCCTGGTTTCTTGTTTTATTCTGTTTTGATAAATCTATTTATTTGGAGAGCCAGATCTGTCTGATAAATCTGATTAAAGTGTCTTCTCAATTCACCATCCTGTGTTGGCTCTCTTTTCCCTGGCAGACCCCAGGGCTTCTCACGAATCCACGTTAYGACTCCAGGGCTTCTTTGGCTCCCTGTAGTCACTCACACATCCTCCTTGGGAATGGGCCAGGGGAACTGTGACCTGAACAGTGTCTCACAGAAGCACAGGAGGGTTGAGATTGGCAGGGATCCCTAGGGATCATCCAGTCCAACCTTCCTGCTCCATCAGGGACACCCAGAGCACGGGGCACCCGCTCCAGCCCGGCGCGTTGGGAAGGTCTCCAGAGCAGGAGCCTCCGCAGCCTCCCTGGGCAGCCTCAASCAGGGCTCGGGCACCCTCCCACCAAACAAGTTCTTCCCCACGGCCACATGGAGCTGCCCGGCCTCCAACCTGCACCCACTGCCCCTTGTCCTGCCCCTGGCCACCACCCACAAGAGCTTGGCCCCTTCCTGCTTCCATCCTCCCCTCGGGTGCTTGGACACAGCAACCAGGTCCCCTCTCGGCCTCCTCTTCTCCAGCCTCAACAGGCCCCGCTCGCTCGGGCTCTCCTCACACGAGAGCTGCTCCAGGCCCTTCCTCAGCCCTGTCGCTCTGCGCTGGCCCCTCTCCAGCAGCTCCACGTGCCCCTTGTCCTGGGGAGSCCAGAGCTGCCCCCAAGGCTCCAGCTTTGGCCTCCCCAGAGCGGAGCAGAGGGGCAGGATCCCCTCCCTGCCCTGCTGCCRRCGGCCTCCCGATGCAGCCAGGAGCCCATTGGCCTCCTTGGCCACCAGGGCCCTGCTGCCCCATGGGCACCTTGGTGTCCCCAGGTCCCTCTCTGTGGAGCTGCTCTCCAGCAGGTCAACCCCTCCTCTGTCCTGGTTCCTGGGGTTGTTCCTGCCCAGGGGCAGGACCCTGCACTTGTCCTTGTCTCCTTCGCCTCCCGTCCCTGTGCAGCAGTGTGGTGGCTTGGACAAAYTCCCTTGGGCACCTGATACAAGAGATGACCATGCTGGTTGTTCAGAGCATTAACGAGGAGAGAAGGGAGGCTGCCAAGAGATGCTGTGGCTAGTGATGGAGACAGCAAGAGGTGGGGAGGTGGGGAAGAGAGCCCTGTTCAATAGCTCTTTGCCAAAAGCTAGATGAGATAAGAGACACGCTGCAAGGATGTGTCCCCTTCATCCTTCCACAGCTCTCCCATTGAGGGGTCTCCAACAACCATGTGCTGGATTCCTGGCCCCCATGCCACCCAGTGCACTGTACCCAGCCATGGCTTGCAAAGCACATGGGCACGGAGTGGATCCAGTTAATTTTACCCAAGGTAAAAACAAGGATCCCAGCAAACCCAGTGGTGCTTTTGGGGCTGGTTTCCTGTTAGGCATCCCAGTGGCCAAAGGGAAAGGGGTTAAATCCTGGGTTGGAGCAAGGCTGCTGAGTGCGTGACTGTAGGTGAGTGCCCATGGGGAGGATGCTGCCAGTCTGCTGGCAGAGGCCGACCTTAATTCTGAGTGTAATTAGCTCACACTTGCAAGCCCTAATTGAAGCGGAGCTAAGGACCAATTTAGGCTCATTTACCTGAAGTGGTGGATATTTGAAATGAGTTTGCCCAGCTGGGTTCCTAGGGATGGCCTCATTCCTGGGGGGAAATCTGCCCAAACCTTGCACTGTCCAGCCCCAGTGAAGTTTCCTATAGGAAGCTATAGGTTGCCAAACCCAAATGCAGGCAGGAGATGTCTTCACAGAAGGGATGAGCTCAACAGGAACCTCTGGAGATCATCTCCAGTTCTCTGCTCTAGCGGGGTCACCTACAGCATGTTGCCTAGAACCATGTCCAGGTGGCTGTTGAACACTTCCAAGGATGGACATCCCACAACCTCTTTGGGTTTGTCCTCATGTTCAGATGGACCTTCCTATTTTGCAGTCTAGGTTGGAAGGGATCACAGAATCACAAATGTTCAAGGTTGGAAGGGACCTCTAGAGATCATCTAGTCCAACCTTCCTGCTCCAGCAGGGACATCTACAGCACGGGGCCTCTGGTGGCATCCAGGTGGGTTTTGAAGACCTGCAGAGAAGGAGATCTCCAGGGCCCTGTCACCCTCACAGGAAAGAAGTTCTTCCTCACATGCAGATGGAACTTCCTGTGTTGCAACTTACACCCATTGCCCCTTGTCCTATCCCTGGCCACCACTGAGAAGAGCTYGGCCCCTTCCTCCCTGCATTCCCCCTTCATGAACTTGTACATGTTAACCATATCTCCTCTCAGGCTTCTCTTCTCCAGGCTAAACAGGCCCTACTCACTTAGTCTACTCCTATTGTTGGCCAGCACTGAAGAGCCTGGATTTGTCCTCTTGACACCCTTTAGCTATGGGTGCTGCTGATGTCCTTGCACTGAAACTGGTTCTAGGAAAGGTATTTGCTGGCCTGTGCACTGCAGGGTGAGGTGCTGCATGTGCCAGTCACCAGAGGAGGAGCTGGAAGACTCAGATGATGCCATTTCCATGGGGTGAACATGGATATGACTGATCTGCCCTTCCAGAAGAGTGGAGCTTTATTTATCTCTCAGATTTGTCATATTGTCCTGGACCTGGATGCCTCTGAGCATCATCTCATCATCTCAAGTGCTAGTTTTTCCACTCCCTTCAGTCTCTCAAGCCTCAGCCAGCTTTCCATTGCCTTCAAGTTGGTTTTTTGCTGTGTTCTTTCTACGCCTTCAGTGCAGCTCTGCTTTAGGACGCTATCAAAAAAGACACACCATAAATTTTATACTGAACAATAAAACATTTTCCTGTTGGCTGCTCTTCCACCTCACTCACTGCAGCAGCACAAGCTGAAGGGATCAGCTTGATCCTGTGGCCATGCAGGCCAAGTGCCCCAGTTCCATTCGGACATGGGCTGGAGAAAACCAAG